ATATATATATATATATTGATAGCAATATTCGGCGATTCGATAAACGAAAGAGGAAACTAAATTCCTTTTTATATCGTATCTAAACTACGTGCGATAATCGAGAAATATCAGGAAGATTTTCAAGATGGCGATATTGTGTAATTGTAAAAAGTTCGTGGAGGCGACAAGCGAAACAATAAACGCGAGAAAATCGTATGAAACAATGGTGAAGCAGCTTGCACGTTTCTCCTTTCGTTTCTTTCTTTTTTTTTCTCTCTTTCACAGTTACTCGAGTTGATTTCGATACATTTTTCTGACAAACGGTCTCGAGCCATTTGTTCGACAATATCGCGATTCTTAACGTTTGCCTTTACTTTCAGCTTTTCGAGAAATTCGAAAAGCGCGTTATCAAACGCAGAAATAAGGAAGTTCTTTGAAGTAGGTAGGTTTCATGAGCGGATGGCACTCGAAGAAGAAGGAAAATGTTCTTCTCATAGATTTCTGATTATTATTTTTTTTCCACGATGAAGAGGTTTCTTTCATTTTGTTCGTTTCATGTTAGTATTTTTCTCTTTTAGATTTTTTAGTCGAAAAATTTAAGAATTAATTAAAGAATATAAAACTTAGTGGAAAAAGAAATTTCATTAATTTACTTTAATATTATTTTCAATGAAATTATAAATCTTGTTAAGAATTCGATATTATATTTTATGTTTTCAGATTATTTAAAAATGACTAATTTTAAATTTTTATTATTCTTTTTCATTTCAATCATCAATTCGTTAAAATGAAATTTCATTCTTACTCGATTTCATTTGTAATACAAAATATTTCATTGATATACGTTAATATTTGAAATTAAATGATTGCTTTTTACACTTTTGCTTTTACATTTTTGTAATATTCTAAAATAAAAAACCAAAAATACGTCCTTTTTCTCATTTCATTTTTTTATTCACTATTTTCGAAATCTACATCATTGTTTAACATTTTGAAATTTTGATAATTTATCAATATATCGATATTATGATTATGTATATTATTTATGATCGTTAAATAAACATATTCCTAATCCAAAAAAAAATTTATGTCACGAACAATATATTTACTATTACGAAATCATTTATTTGAGTTTAATATTTAATTTTAATATTTTATATTAAATGGAACGAATTAATTTCTCTTCTTCTTCTGATCCATAGAAAGTTTATGCATATATAAAACAAGTTTTCTAATGATCTTAATTATAGAATAAATGATTAAAAATACTGCGAAACTTAAAAATACTATAATATCGTTATCGCAGTATTGATACCACGATTGCCAAGCCAAAGTACTTCGAAAATATGGAGCACCTTTGTGTCGAATCACGTACTCTGTCCACCAAATAAGAATATTTAATGAATCGTATGGCAAATCATTTATAAGCTTTCGAAGATTTATTATATTTTTCTTATATCTGAAACAACCACCATAAAATTGAAGAATTAATTAAATAAATATAAAATAAAATGAAAATATCCATTATACATTTTAACAAATTATTAATTTATAAATAAATAAATTTGAATTTGAATAAAAAAATTTTATATTGATAAATATTTATATGCTATTCATATATTCATATATGTATTCTGTAAAACTGAAATATTTTTACATTTTTTTGCAAAAATTAAAAAATCATCAATTAAAATAATTAAAATAGAATATATAAATAATATTAGAGAAATATGTATGTATGTTTATTAGATACTAAAACAGATTAGAATATCTATGTATTTATACTTAAATAATTTTTTTATAGCTTTTCATAATTGTTTACATATATAATGTAAATCCATATTATGTAAGTATAGTTTTAATCTAAAAATATTGATTTTGAACTATTTAAATTTCTAATTTAATGAAATAATTTTTATCAATTATTTTTTATCTGCTATTAATTTTTCAAATATTTTTTACCTTTAATACTTACTGTTTATTATTAATCATTTCATGAATAGCAGATTCTAACTCGTCTCTCGTCAAAGTTTCAATGTTTAAACGTTTTGCAATACCATGATTTATTGCTATTTTTACTTGATTTTCCTGATCGGAAAATATTGGTATACCGAGAAGCGGTACTGCATGATGTATAGCTTCTTGAGTACTTTGCAATCCTCCTTGGTAAATATAAAGCTTGAGATTTGGATGAGCTGTGAAAAAATGAATATTATACACGAATATGGATTATTCAAAATTTTTCAGATCATAAGATATTTCTCGATGGATAAAGGATATTATACCGAGCAAACTTTTTTGAGGCAACCATTTTGTAATATAAATATTTTTAAGTTTTCGTAATGGTTCATTCTCATATTTCCATACCACTTTATAAGGCAATTTTTCAAACACATCATAAAAGATTTCTTGAATATTGTTTGAAATAATTGAAAATTTTACAGTGTGGCCCATTGAGAAATAGATAAACCCATTTGTTGCATTATCAACAAATTCTTTTAGATCCTGTACACAAAAGGTATAGATATATCAACTGTTTGTAACAGAATAAATGATATAAATCAATCCGGCATTGATAAAGCATTAAAGAACCATGAAATAATACATAATAATAATGCATAATAGCATATAAAAAATAAAATAATTAAATACTTTTAAATTGACTTAAAGAGAACGTGAAAAGATTTTTGAAATTATTTAAAATAAAATTCAGCATTCTATATAAATAGAATGAAAAAAAAAATTGAAAATCAAATGCATTATAATTATTGTAAAAATGTATTACGTATGAATATTATGAACATCATATAATAAAAAAAGTATAAGATACATTATATCTATTACTAAAATTTTTAATATTTTTATTATTGCCTATATAATTTGGTTGCAAGTTTTGTTTTCGATAAATATTTACACTGATATTTTAGATAAAATATGATAAAATAGGAATGGTCGAATACTCTTTTAACTAATTGTACATTCTAATTGTAATTTTTATAAATATATTTTCAATTTCAAGTAATAATAAATCATAATAAAAGTTGATCATACCTGTGGCAAAGGTTCCGAATAATCAGCAACATGGATCGAATGAAATTTGATTATATTCGGTAGTTCTGGTCGTGCATACGACGTAATTTGATTTTCGTTAACAAATATGAGACTGGTATTTCTTATAATATCTTTAATCGGAGATAAAAATGGGCCAAAATGCTTATCGACTAATTGTTGATGAGCAGGGAAAGATTTATAATGCATTGTGTAAATAAAATTCCACATGATATAAAAATTGTTCAATCTCTGCCAAAATGACAAATTAGTCCCTGTATTCGATTCCATTTCCCATGTATTTTCGTGAGAGGGTAACACGAAATTTCCTAACATGTAAGTGTCAATTGTCATCAATCTAAATGCGCTTAATCCTGTAATTATACGAAATTTATGTTCTTTGGTATTATTTTATTTAATGTTATTTAATAATTTAAAAAGATTATTATTGATCGTGATCAAAGATTTATTAATTAAAGGGAGCAAATTCGAGATGTAAAAAAAAGAAATGATGATTAAAACCATTTCGATTAAATAATAATTTTAATTTTAATATTTCAAATAGAAGTTGAGATAAAAATATGATTGAAATTAGATGATGAACAGTTTTTTTGTAATTGATTAGATTAGATTTCATTTAAGAAAAGCAAGCTTTATTTTTATAAATGTTTTGCACTTACAAAAAATTTATTTATTATTTGTCAATAAGAATTTATTTGTCAAACAAATACTTTTGTTCACCAATATATAAAGTTTTATGATTTTATTTATAAATGTGACATTTTTGTATACTAATTTTTGTGTTTATTTTTAAAATTTTTCTACAATAATTATATTAAATGATTTTAAAATTTATCAAATTTTATTAGACAATTTATTAATAATAACTTTAGTAAATAATAATAATAAATAATAATGTAAAAGAATTACCTATAATAGGAGCATTAAATCTGTCAGCAAATGCATATAAAGCTGGTGTAGCAAGCATCTGTATCATTATTAGATCGAACTTTTCTTTACTATCTGGAGCGTAGAGTTTTTTAACTTCCGGATGTTCAAATATTCTAGCTGCTATATGCAAACATGTAACAAACACGTCGTCTTTCATAAATGATATAAAAGATTTGCGATTCAGACGTAGTTCGGCGTAATTTGGTAAGTATTTGAGATCGACATTAAATTTAATCTGTCTCAAATTCGTTGAGTTTATAGCGGGAATAGGATTGCACGTTATAAGTACCAATTCGTGGCCACGTTTGATCAATTCTTTCCATAATGGTTGAAATGGAACATGGTGACTGTATACTGGTACATGTAGTATAGCTAAGATTCTGGCACCATTTAACTGATTTATAATATTTATGAAACACAGTGTGAATATTACGATCCCGTTCTTATACTTCATGTTGAACGATTTAGAACATACTAACTACATAAAGAAAAAAAAAATTAAGCATTATATTACGTCTAAATTTCTGACGTTAAAATAAGTTCAAAATAACTATTTAGATATGTTATCACTATTTTAAAGTTTATTTGATAATGCAAAATTCATTTATATAACTCGCTGCATTATTCAAAATGTATTTTAATTTTAAATCTACATATTATGAACAGTCAGTTTCATGTTCATAGTACAGAATTTATATAATTTGCTAAATATTCATTATATCTCAACAAAATTTTTATTCAAAATTGATTTTTCATTTATTATTTCATTGATTTTTATTTATTTTGTTAATAATCAAAATTTTATTACAAATAAAAGATTATAAAATAAGTATAAAACATATATACATAATATATTTAAACTTCAAATTTTAAAAGTTATAATTTTAAAAGTTAAAAATTATTAAATTGAAATAGTGTGACATATGTACATTATTTGATTTCAAATTTAAAAATTAAACTAAAAAAACTAAATTATCATTCGCAGACATTTTTATCAACAATTTTACAAATAGAATGCATATCATTTGATTATATAGTATATTTATTTGTTTATCCAACTCTATGAAATCATATATATTCTGGCAAGAAATTCTTTTGTCAGTTTATTGTTGGATTTTTTTTTAATTGCATTGTTATTTTTTCATTTGTAAATAAGTATTTACATTTATAATTAGTTTTTTAAAATTTTATTTTTATTATTTATCAATACAATTCATATTTGAATTAACATTTTTTTATTTATGGAATTAAACATTTAGGATAATCATTTATTTTTATAATAATTTATTTGCTGCATGATACAATTTAAGAATTTAAGTTTCCAAGTAATAATTTTAACTAAAAAAAAAAAGCAAAATTTTTATAAATGAGTTTACAAATTGTGAAATTTCAATATAATATATATAATATATTTTGATGTAATGTTTTTTATCTTATAATTATTATATTTATTATAATTGAAACTTTTCTTTTTAAAATCGTATTTTTTAAATTATATTATTGTTGCAGGAAATAAACAATACATAATTCACGAAATTGATCATATATTATGTTACAAAGAAATTTAATAATATATGTATCACCCATTATACCCTACATGCAAACAAACTTTCATTAAAATCAGTTAAATTTAATTTAATCTGATAATTCTGATTTTAATGAAAGTTTGTATGCATGTAGAGTATAATGAATTATATGTTATTACATGAAACATTTTTTTTTTAGTGATTGGAAATCTTTTCGAAGAGATGAAATCAATCTTTGAAATTTTATTTTTTCATGTTTTAAATATAATATTATCCGATATATCTTTTATATGTTGTCAAACTAATATCATTTGATATATTTAATACATTTTTGATACATTTAATATATTTTTAATTACATTTTTAATACATTAGATGTTTATGATTACAAAAATCTTTGATCTTTGATGATATAAATAATATTAACCATTAAGAATCACTCGATAAATTGCCTCTTTTCAAAGATAAATTAATAAATTAATTTATGAATTACAATTAGAAAAAAAATCTTATATATCATATATGATTCATAATGATTATTGAACAAATAATAATAAAATTAACATATATTTAACATATATTTTTTAATATATATTTTATATTTGATTACTTCATTTTCTGTTTTTGATTTATAGAAATTTGCAGCATTTTGCAAAAATATATAAAACACTTAGCAATTATATTAAGCATGATTAAAACGATAATAAATGTTATTATTGTCAAAAATACTATAATGTCCATGTCAAATCGTCGATACCAAGGTTCTAAAGCTAATGTAGAGCGAAGATGTGGGGCGCCTTTCGTTTTTATTACATATTCTGTCCACCAAGCGAGATGTTTCACACCATCATAAGGTATATCCCTATTTTGATTTCGAATATTAAGTATTCTCTCTTTATATCTGGAAAAAAACATAACAATGTTATGAAAAACAGAATTATTTTATATTGTAGGAAACAATTTCTTACATACGCATAACTAAATGTAGTTTAAATTCTTCTGATAATTTAAATATAACTTTATCTTAGGATAGGAATATTATACATTTAAAAATAAAATTCTCGATATTTGTTCTTTTTCATCCTTTTCAAGATTATTTTTCATCAAAAACTACATTGAGAACAAGATTATCAGGAGAGGAAATTCCTCAATCATTTTCATCATCCTATATTGACATTATTAATTCACCTATGCGTTACGTCTAAATTATAATTTCATGACCGAACTATGTCATTATTAATCGACTCCTCTTTCTCTTAAAATCAATTCTTAAATTTTTCAAATCCTTAACAAATTTCTTAACTTGATAACAATGATTGAAAAAGACTAGTCCGAAAATAATTTTCACTCCCAATGCAATATCTATTTTCGCAAATGTATCCGTACACTTAATGTATACTTACTCTTTATTAATTATGATTTCATTAATAGCGTTTTCAAATTCATCTCTCGTGAAAGTTGTAATTTTTAATAGTTTTCCAATGCCAAGAGTTTCCATTCTTTTTATTTGATAATATTGATCCGCCATTATTGGGAAACCAATAACTGGCACTCCATATTCAATAGTTTCTTCAGTACTTTGTACACCTCCTTGATAAATGAATAATTTAATATTCGGATGAGCTGCGAAGTAATATGTACAATTATATTAGATATGTATCGTAAAAAATATATTTTATTTAATAAAGATAGGATTATACCAAGAATCGTTTGCTGAGGTAACCACTTCCCTATGTAAATGTTTTCGAATTTTTCGTTTAAATTCTGTTCATACTTCCATATAATTTTGTACGGCAGTTTACGAAAAACGTCGAGAAATATGCTTTTAATTTCTTCTGGCAATGCTGAACTGTTTACATTGGAACCGAGATTAAAATAGATAAATCCTTGTTTCGCTTCGTCTAGAAATTTTTTTATATCCTTACAAAAATAAATAAGTTTTAGCACACTTGTACAGAATGTGTAAAAAGTAAAATAACATGATACGATTATTCTACAATTTTTACAATATTTTCAATCTATACATTTCATAAATCTTCTAAATCTATTAATTATACAAATATGATAAAATAAAATTTCTATTGAATAAGACGTACCTTTGGCAAGGGAGGTAGATTCTTAAATATGTGGAAAGAATTGAAAGTGATCATATTTGGAAGTTTCGGTCGTCCTGCTGTTATAACATCAGCCTGATTAACAAAAACTAGACTAGTATTTCTCATAATGTCCGACAACGGTGGTAATGGTCCAAGATATTTCTCCGCTATTTTTTGATATTTAGACATCATTTTGGTATTTAAAAAGTAATGGAAATAATATATTTTCACGAAATTGTACAATCGTTTGAAGAACGGCAAATTTATTCCTGTGTCCTCTCCCACTTCCCAAGTATACTCATGAGAAGGCAAAATTATTCCTCCAAGTATCGCCTCATTAAAGCTATGTAATCCTAACGAAGATAATCCTATAATCATGCAAGATGTCAATCGAAATCGTTTACTATTGTTTCTTTAACTTTATATTTATTACAAATAATTAATATATTAAATAAATACCTATTAGAGAAGCGTTGAATCTATGCGCAAAAGCATATAGGGGTGATACGTAGATAAACTCCGTTAAAAAAACATCGAATGTTACATTACTATCCGGAGCATATAACTTTTTCATTTCTGTGGATTCGAATATCTCAAGTAATTGCTTATCGAATATAGGCATTAAATAATCGTACACAATTTTTATCCAATCCACTCCTTCAATTCGTAATTTGAGGAAATCTATGTTTTTTAAATTAGTATGAGTTTGACTTACATCGATCTGAGTGAAATTTGGTAAGTTGATATTCGGTATAGGATTCGTGGTGACCAATACTATCTCGTGACCATGCGCGTGCAATTCAAGCCATAATGGTCGAAACGGAATCTGATGGCTGTAGGATGATGTCGAAATGATGGCCAAAATTTTGTAACATTGCGAATAATTTAAAATACACAAAATGCGTAGAACTAAAAACAGGCTTGCGATATTACGTATCATGCTTTTTGTTTTGAGGTAAACTATTTTAAGTATTGGATATGGATTATATATTAAGGTATATTACAAAGCATATTACGTTAATATGCTATTGATAACATTGATAATATTATGCTAATGCGCTATTGATAACATTGATATGCGTTACTCATTTTAGTGTTAAAATCATACTTATTATTGTTACATTATATTATTTACTAATATATTTAACTTATGAATAAGTCAGAATCCTAATAAAATATATAACGGTTAAAAACGATTAATACATTAGATTAATACATTATGGATCATTTTATTTCTATATAAGATAAGAAATATTGGTTATATAAAAATAAATCATTATTCCTTGTCTTATATATTAGTCCTTATAATCGTATAATGATATATTTTTTTTTTAATGTATGATGGCAATTTTTAAAATAAAAATAATATTTAATTATCTTCTTTATATTATATAATATTATTTTTATCAACTACAAGTGAAAAAATTCTTTTATGTTGAGAATACTAAAATTACAATCTAATAAATTATGTGATTTCAAGGAAAATAAAAATTTCGTGCAATTAAAATTATAATTTTATGTATGTGAAGAAAAACTGAAAAAAAATTATTTTCATTTCAGTTTATTAATATATTAATTCATTTTGTAATAAAATTTCATCTATTTCGTTTTCAATGAAGATATGTCATAAATATTTACGATTTCTGAAAATTTAAACGGAAATTATACATTTACGTAAAGGAAACGAATATATTATTGTGACAAATACAATATCAATTGATATATATGTGTATAATAGTCTAGTAGTAAATTAAAATTGAATAAAATTAAACTTTAATGAAAAATTTTTTATGTTTTTGCAGATATTAGCAAACTAAATATTGCTCATTTTTCCTTCTATCCTACTATTACTTCTATTGTCTTTTCTAATTAATTACTTTATAATAATTATTTTCTAATAATTATTATATATATATAGATCACATTCGTTTTATAAATATAGTAATTTAATATTTATATAATATGTATATAATATGTATATGTATAAATATGTTTATATTTATAATAAATAAATATGCATATTTCATAAATATTTCTATATACAAGAATATCTTTGGATAATTAATTCTACAGGACAAACCAAAAATATCGATTGATTCTTACTTATTAAAATATATGATTTATATTTGTTTTAGATGAAACGAGGTGAAAATAGGGCAAAATAACGATGACAGAAATAAAATTTACAAATTTTAAACTTTAATTTAATTTATAATTTAATTGATAATCCTATCAAGTTTATATATCAATTTTTATTTGTAATCTATCATTATATACGTATTGCACATCTTTCTTTTTTTTAGACAATTATTTGGAATAATGCAGCCCTTATCTATAATTTTCAGATTTATTGTAAAAATTTCTTATAAAATTTCGAACAATATTTTCAAATATTTAAATTAATATTTAAAACATTTTGAGGCCATCATGAAAAAATAGATTTTTAACTAATTCAAACTTTATATCACTCTTCTTAGTTAGGTGTTGCTATCAGGTGATTAAATAAACGATAAGCGTTAATTGCATATTTACGTAGATACTTAGACGAACACATATATGTACATATATATAAGAGAAATTCTATATGTAAAAATTATTTTTTACAAATATTTCGAAAAGTAAAACTACATAACAATAGTATGCAAAGAATAATGTTATTCTTGTTATCTTTTATAATAAATTTAGAAATTATCAAAATGAGAATTATTTGGAATAATTATTAGAAAAAAAAAAAAGGAAAATACACATATAATAGATAGAGGTATCTAGGTATTCGAGATATCTATATACCAATAAATGCTATTTTTCCTTGCAATAGATCGAAGAATGTAAATAAATAATAAGTAAAATAAATTTGAAAATCAATGGAACTTTAATAATTACGAATGTTGATAGTTACAGTGTGGAATTTATGGTCAATAGCAAATGATGATATCAGTTTATCATTGATATCGAAAATATTGATTAAAAAAAATCGCTTTTCGGAGCACAAAGATTATATACAGAATATTATAATTATGTAAAATATTGATAACGAAACGATATCGTTTCTTATCGCTATTTAAGATTTAAATTGGTATAATTATTTGTATGGAATTATTTTAGTTCATTGTTAAAAAGTGTTACTAAGTGTTATCTGTTCATAAATTGAAAATCTATTAAAAAAATTATTAAGATTATCAAGGTTATCGAGAAAATGAAATTCAACTATCGTGGCTACAAATCAATATTCATCTTTGTCCTTAACGTACGAAATATACGAAATTTTAAACAAAAATAGCGAGTAATTGCAAAAATAACAACAAAAATATTTTAAATATTTTCGATATTATATTTCGTATTTTTAAGATTTAAGATAGCTTTGAATTAAAGAATAGAGTAGAATCTAGATCTAGGTCTAAAGAATAGGTTTGAATTGTCTTGAGTTTAAAATAAATTTAGATTAGATTTGAGCGACTTTAAATTGAAAAACAATTAAAAAAAATATATAATCCAATATTGCTAAATTAAATATTTACGAACAATGAGTAAAACTACAAAATTCCTTTCTAACTTATTCATCGATATGAACTTCTATGTTTATTCAAATTGGATTAAGTTAAATTAGGACATATCTTATATTTGAATATACTTGGTATATAATTTCATAAAGATCACATTGAAATTATATAGTCACGTACATAACCTACCTAGATCAGATTCATATTCATCATAAGACATTCCCCTCGAGACGAAATAAGTTTTATTCGATTTTATCTTCTTCGTCGTTCCCCATCAATGGAACAGTGAAATTCGTTCGAAAGTAAGAGTCACCAATGTCGCGTGGCAAGCAACGAACCGTTTCGGATGAAAAACGTTCATCAACGGCAAATAGACACCGATTACCATTTTTTTTTCAACGCGGTTCTCCTCCGTTTCCTCGGCCACGAGGCCGCAGAACGGCGGTTTTCGTTTCACCGCAAAACCAGGAAAGTGTGAAATCCCACGACGGCCTGTCGCAACGTAACTCGAAGCGGAACAATTTTCTGCGTCCACGTTTGTCAAGTTTCTTTAATCGGCCCCATGGGCACACAGCTCGCCTCTGGTTAAATCATCGATAATTGGCCAGCAGCCGGGCTATCACGGATTGGAATTCAATTTCCTTCAAAGTTCGCGAAAGAGACCGAGAAACCTCGACTGCTTTTCACGCGGGAACACCAAAATTGGATTCTTTTTAGCGAAACGATTCGCGATTGGCGAGTTTCTAGAAAGTTCCACGACGATTCTTAGCTTGGACCACGATGGATATCGTTAACTATCGTTGCGAAATGAAAGAAATGAAAGGTTTGGTTACTTTTACTGATACGTGTACCGTTTGTTGTTGATTTTTCACATATTTTTATAATTTAAGACCGGTACAATTTATTGCAAATTGATTATTGATCGAATCTTTCTAGAACAAATTTTCTTGTAAGATTAATGGAAAGGTTTGAAAAAAGTTATGGTTGAAACGGACATCTATATATACGCGACGAACGGCATCAATCATTTAATATCTCTTAATGATCGCAGCTATTGAATAGCTCATATCTCGTTTCAGATTCAATTCATGAACAGATTCTATTCAAAAAAAAAGATATCTCGTCTATGATTCCATTCAATTGCTTGCTTCAAAGAAGAGACTCAGAAATGTTTAATGCACGTAAAATAAAAGGAAAGAGCTTTAAGTAACTTTAAATTTATTTTATATTCTTACAGAAGTAAGAATGTAAGAATGTAGAAATATTGAAACAAATTGATCCAAAGATAAATAAGATTTAGGGAAAAGAACACGTAAGCAAATTTCTATCAGAAATGCATGCTAGTACAATCGAGTGGAACGAATCCTTCGAAGACAAACATTTAATAACAATGAACTCAAACTGATACGATCTCTTTTCGCTTGGCGGAATTGTTAGACAGTTGACTGAATTCAAGGCTAGGAAATTGCGTATACGTTCCTATGTACGCACATACATCCGTGAACGCGCGAGATGTGCAATGGATCGCTAAGCCTGTCTTGCACGATCGCACAATGCTCGACTGGGTTGCCAAAGTACCATCGATTTCTTCCATCTCGTCGAAGAAATTGCACATTTGCGCGTATACTGTGAAGCATATCCGCACACTCGAACGATGCATACTATGCTTTGCTACGAGAAATGCTCGTACGCATTCGATATTTCTTGTGTTTTTGTTGTTCTTGGATAAATCCTTTCTAAAAAGTCACGAAAATAAAATCGAGACGAAATGAACACGGATACGTTTACTTTTGTGGCGAATAATTTTACTATCAATGATGAAAAATAAACGTTCTTAGACAATTATTCCTAGAAAGAGGGAGTTCTCAGATTTGAAATTTTTTGAGGAAGACTTGGAGGAAGACTTTAATAAAATGTTATTTTCTTCTTACTTATGCAAAGGATATTATCGTCGTTGTACTTGTCGAATATTGGAGGAAAGTTTCCTGAAATTGCTTGAACTCTCTAATCCCTTTCTTGTTAAAGTGCATATCGGTGAAGTTATCAGTCGTTGCAATAAAAATGATAGTACCACGACGGCGCTGCCAGCTGCGTGACTCTCACGAATCAACAGGAACAATTGGTAAACGCGACCAGATGGATGTATAAACTTTATCTTCGGTGTTCAACACGAAATGACGCGAAATTACAATTCAAATATGGATGGAAGTTATTCTGTTAAAGATATTTTCTCGATTGGCGCAACATGAACAAAACAAAGTTCAAGTTGGCTTAAAAAAAAAAAGAATTATGTAATAAGAAAACATTGATTATAATTAGAGTTTAATTTCTTTCAATTATTTTTCCTTGCAACTATTTTTAAAAATCACTAATTTATTTCATATAGATATCGAGTAAGGTCATTTTTATCTTAAATAATTATCAAATCAAGTGAATTATTTTTCTTTTGTAAAAT